TTTTTTAATCCACACAGCCATTTGCATGAAACCAACTTCTTTTCCTCATCTGAGCCTAAAATACCCTCCTTATCCTGCTGAGCTTGTGCAATTAAAGGTTGTAGTATCCAAGACTGACATCCGTGAACTCAGCCTCTGGAATTCAAGAGATGCCGCAAAATACCCCTACCTCAGATATCGCTTCCTGTGACCCTAACTCTCCATGTGAAATTACACCATTTAAGTTCAAGACTTGAAGGCTTGTATTAATGTGTGTCACCTTGGAAGGCTAGATATTCCTTGGCTCAATGCAATTATCTGACTGAAAAGATAGTAATAATATTTGAGAGTCTACAATGTACTACACATTTTCTATTTAATACTCTTTAATATTTAAATTTTAACTCCTCTAGCTCTTATTATACTTATAGGTATTAAATTTGGGAGAAAACTGAGACACAGAGAAATTAAGTAATGTGTAAATTAGTAGTTGGATCCAATTTTGAACTTACGACCTTTTCATTCAACACATTCATCACTTCCTTGAAGAAAGGGACATGGAGAAATGGCATGGAAAGTCTAGGTCAGGGGATGGCGAGAAGACTAATGAGCATTAGTAGGGCATGGACACGCCTAGAATGTGGCAATGTAGTAGTGAAACTATTGTGTTAAAGAAGTACAATGAGCCTTAGAAGAAATAAAACCAGGATGTTCCTTACAAAGGGAGGCTGCAGAGACTTCGAATGCATCATCTAAAGACTAATAATTGGAAAAGAACATCATGTTTGGCAAAGTACAAAAGTCTTTAATGAGATACAGTGGCCACAAGAATGAACTCCAACATATCAACTGTCATGAGGCTGGAGCATGGTAGAAAATCATTTCATGCTGTTATAAGGTCATCATGAACCAAAGAAGTTTGGGAATCTTTTAACACATCTGACAACTGAAATGTTGGTGGTTCAAATCCTCCAGCTTCCCTGCAGGAGAAAGGTGGGCAGTCTCCTCTTGTAATTATTTACAGCTTCAGAAACCTAATGGGAGATCTGCATTGAAGCTGTCTCAAAGGCAGTAAGTGAACAGATGAGAGAAACTTTGGAAGCATTTCTGACGTCCTGGTGCCATCTAGTGGGAAGATAGCAGTAATCATTACACTCCAGGCAATGACTATTCTCTAAGTGCTAAACATGTCAAATTTGCAGAATCTCCTCCCCTGGGATTAAATGGCCCTAAAAACCCGCTGAAAGTTCAGCCATAGGTCCGTTCCAACTCGATGGCACACAGCAACAACAACACATCACTCCAGGCACAAATTCTAAAAGATAGGCAACTCACACTGCCTTGGTGTTGAAGACAGAACACAATTCCCACACACCACAGTATGGTGGTTACAGTCTGCCCTTTTTTAGAGTGGGCAAGATCCTTAACCTCATTTCTTTTAAAAAATATGGACAGTAATACCTACCCATAACATTGCTCTGTGGATACAGAGAAACAGTGCATGTGAAGTATCAGAGGCACCAGACCCCACTTGCCAGGGAGTCATGAGTGTCAGAATAAAACTGTGCTCTGTGGAATTTTCAGTGACTGATGTTTTAGAAGCAGATTTCAAAGCCGTGCTTCTGAGTTGCCTGTGGGGTGCATTTGAATCTCCAACCTTTCTGTTAGCAGCTCAGCACATGAATGGTTTGACCACTCAGGGACTCCTGGCACATGGGGAACCGTCAGGAAATGTTAGCTGCTCCAGTGATGCGGAGAAGGCATGACAAACACGGGTATAGGAGGAGTAAGAAAAAGACTGGGGAAATTAGAAATTAGTGGTCTTCAGCCAGTCCCACAAGAATGATTCTGGTGAAAAAAAATAATGTGTATGAACTTTGTAAGTAAACCAGTATAAAATTAAAATTTTATTTTTTATAAAATTGTGCTTTAGTTTTAGAAGTTTTTACTAGATTGTTTAAAGTAATAGTTAAACATGTATATACTTTAGACTGCATGTCTCTAAAAAAAGCAGGAAATTTGGCAAAGTATAAACTTATTGTCTTAAACTAGTTTTCTTAGTTGGCCCCATTTATTTTATGTTATTATAAACTGACAAAATGTATATAAACATTTAAATACAAACACTATGACAATTGCAGTATATAAAATTATTCTATATGATAAAATCATAATGGATCAGAACTTTCATAATAATATGTATTTTTCAGAATGTGCACAAAATTTTCCAAGTGTGTAAGAAAAACAATTTACTCATTACCAAAAAGTGCACATATGTAATAATATACTCTACATACTACCATTATGAACCAAAGTTGTAAGTAATGACTCCCTGGTTAGAAAAATTCATGAATTGCCATGACGTGTCACTAAATAAGCTGTAGCACAACCAATCTCCATAGCCTTCTTATTAAATTACTGACAGAATTTCTGGACAGTTAAAGTGACATTCTTAAGAGTATTAAAAATTAAGTAATGCAAAAATCATTTTTGTTTCTCTTTCAAATGGTGGAAAGATTTAATACATAGCTGAGTTAACATGCACAATGATAAATTCAGTGATTTATTAAAATATTTCAAAAACACTATTTCTTGTCTCATAGAACCAATAGAGTATAACTTCCTTCACAGAGTTTACAAGGCTGATATCTTTATGCATACAGATCAATACATCTTTCTACCATGGAGCCACAGCAGGGATTGGGGGGTCCTATCCTTGCCTTGATCTTTTGGTTATCAGTTAAGTGTTTAGCCACAATCAAGAACTACACAAACCTTTCCATGAAAGGTTTCATTAGACCTTCATAATGAAACTCATGCTTTCATTAGACAGGAAATATTTCAAGAAAGATTGTTTATTTCTGTGTTATGGCTGTAAATGATGGAAAAAACGGAGTGTAAAAAATCATATTTATCTCTGGCAACATGCCTTGGGGGAAAACAAAGATACATGAACAATGACCATAGGACAGAGATTGAAGACAAATCTTGTGAAGCTTTTTTTTTTTCTTCTTCTCTCAATTCACTTAGAGATCTAAATGCTAAGTTTGGGGAGGGAAAAATTATGACTGTTTCCATACATATATTAAGTTTTTCAATAGTTAATATTGAATAATTCTCAATAGGGAGCTCTGATTGTTTAGTAGGTAAGGAGTTATGCTGCCAACCCAAAGGCAGGCAGTTCAGGTCCACCAGTTTTTCCACAAAGCTGGGCAATCTCCTATGAGATTGACAGCGTCAAAAAAGTTGTTACAGGGGCAGCTCTGAGTCAGTGCCAACTCAATGACAATAGTTTAGTGATTTAATAGTAAAAATTAAAATTAATGCATGAATTACACAAAGTAAAATGATGACTTGCAAATCATCCTTTCAACTCTGTGCATTTAACTATGGATTCTGACTACTTTGAATAACTTTTTATCAATGTTGGCTTGTCCAAGATGTTCATTTCCAAATATCTGAAAATGAAAGAATGAAACAGACTATGGTCATATGTCTGTGTGTATGTATACGACAGTAACAAATGTTATCAATCTATTATTTTCCCTTGAAAATGTCAGTGTTCAGTTTGAAGATTCTCAGCTATAATATGATACCACTAAAGTGACTGACTGTCTATTCCCTTAGTTTGGTCTTTGTATAAAAATGTCTAACTAATGACACATGCTCAAGCACTTCTCCTTTAAATGAATGAACAACTTTTGCAAGTTGAATGATAATTAAGGTATGAAAATTACTGACAAAGACTTGATAGAGAAATGGAAACTTTTTAGAAAGCTCAGTTGCAAATCTTATTTAGCTGTGACATTTCTTTCCCAATTTTTATGTAAATATATGCCTTTTCCTAATTGACCTGGACAGTTTTATCTGAAGAAATATGGTAACAGAATATAAAATGTGTAAAAGAAATGCATGAGCTGTCAAAATTCATCTCCATGTAAAAATAGTTATGACATTTTTAAGAATGTATATTTTGATTACCAACATTGAATATAGATGACTATCATAGCACATAAAATATTCTGGGTATTTCTTTCTGAGAGACTTTTCTCATAATAATAATGAAATTTGAATATTAAAAAACATAGACATTTAGATATGTTTACCAAATGATGAGTTATTAATCTAACACGTGGAGGATTCCTGAAGAGGATTTACTATCAGATTAATTACTCTAGGAAAAGATATACTATTAGATTATACTATCAATAAAATTTGCTAACATGACAAAATGGTATATAATCTTGGACACTCTTATAATTAATATAAACATATAATGTACTTATTTCCTGACAATAAATTCCAAGGATTTTTTTTAATTAAGCACATTTCCTAGATTGCTCTCATAAACAAGTAGAGTTCCTGGAGGCTTGTATTTAACATGGTCAAGAAAATTCAGGCATTTTCCCTCTTCCTTTGTTCAAATACTCTAGCTCATTAAAAAGATAAGTGATATCTAATTTGCTGTATCTGTATAGCATAAATACTGTAATGTCAAAGTAAAATTAATTTCTTTGTTTCTTCCTTGCCAGAAGGACGACTTATGCCTTTTCCTGTCAGGGGTCTAGAGAACAGTTTTCACAGTATAACTACATTATGTAAAACCATTTTTACAAAACCCATATATACAAAATACACCTCAGTCTTCAATTTGAAGGTTCATAGGTACAATCTGATGATCATAAAAGTGACTATTATTTTTTCTCTTAGACATTTTTCTTAACCCCAACATGTAAGCATCTCAAGAATTATAGGAGATTCCCAAGAATTACATGACCAAACATGTAGTACAAGTGCATATCAGCTTCCTATAGTTATAAATTCTTACACCTATATTTCTTAGAGAACTTTTTGAATACTATATATAAGATATAGATAGGAATAAATGATTCCTTTAGTCCATTACCAAAATTAAATCACTCTGGATTTCCAGAAAACAGTGTTAAGATCCATTCTGTCCTTTTAGCCCTTGGGAGGAAACTCGGCCAGGATGCCCACACTTGCAGCAAGTTCATTCACAATTATTTACAGTCTTCTTCTGGTACAACCTCCAGTATTATTTGCAATGTTTTAGTTATTCCATCTATTAACCAAAAAAAAGAAAGAAAGAAGATAAATTAGAAATGGAAAACGCAGAGGGAAAACTCAGCAAACTAGAAATTATTTGAGGTTGAATAATGAAAAACACAATAGATTTCATTTAGCATGCTCAATAATTATTTATTTTATTAGCGTCTTACCATATTCAACTAATTAATCGCTTCTATAGCTTCCCATTATGGCTTCTCAGTAAGAATACAATAATATTTATATACAAATTAAGGCTTTTATTCATGATTTAAGAGACTTAAAAAAGAGAGACAACAGGGCTAAGACTGAAATAATATTTAAAAATAAACTTTACATTCAATTTAAAGTTAGTTTTTAGTTTTTGCACCTATAGTCATAACCAAATCCTCAGCAGAATCAAGAATAGATTCACAATATCATTTCTATGCTCTAATAATGTAGTGGAGGGAGCTCTGGTGACCCAGCGGTACATGGTTTGAATCCACAAAATGCTTAACAGGAGAAAAATGGGGAAAAGCTGCTCACACAATTTACTGCCTCTGAAAATTGCTAGAGGGTTAGCTATGAGTGGATTCTGACTCAGTGGCACTTACCAGCAACAACAATATGTGTATATTTTTAATAAATCATCTTATCTCCTAGGACTTCTTTTTTCTCATCTGTAAAACTAAGTGGTTGGCTAGGATCAGATCAATGATCCTTATTTTGAGACTCAAATATTCTATTTGGAATCATAATATTAGTTTTACCTGAGATAATGACATGTAACTTTCAAGGCTTCAGATAAATTGAGTCAAAAGCTGAATGGGGGGAGTCAGCAATCTGTGCCTCCCATACACATTAAAGCACGGGAACTACTGAAGTAGATTGTGTTTAGGTCATTTTATTTTATCTAGGAGTTCTGGTGAGGTAGTGCATAATGTGTCCAACTGCCAATCAAAAGGCCAGTGATTCAAACAAGTCAGCTGCTCTGCCAGAGAAAGATAAGCAATCTTCTCCTGTAAAATATTTACTCACTTGGAAACCCAATGGAGTTGAACTATGAATCAGAATTGACTAGACAGTAGTGGATTTGGGTTTTATCTTACAGAATAGAATTCTATGATCTTGGTTTTAAGCTACTTCATAATCACTTCTTACCTTTGAAGTCAATCTGGACAGAATTTCACAATTCCACTAACCCTGGAATATCCTAGAGCTTATACTCAGATGAGGAAGTTTTGGTGATTTAGTGGTAAGGAGTTGCGCTGCTAGCCCAAAGGCATGTGGTTCGAATCTACCGGTTGTTTGACAGGACAAAAGTAAGCAATCTCCTCCCATTCAAGTGACTGTATTAGAAAACCCACTAGAGGTTAAGCTATAGTTGGAGATCCAGACCACCACCCAGGAAAAAAGTCTTTCTCTAATTTATGACTTAAACATAAATTAGTGCCTCTAACATCCCCTTCCAAGCAATGCTTCCAATGTTCCTTAAAAATACAGCTTTTCATTCTTTCAAACAGTATTCCCCGATGCAGATTCCTCAGCACACTAGTTTTTATAGTATGCATTATTTAGAAAAGGCTCAGAATGGGGCTGGCAAATGGTAAGCTCTAGGTAAGTGTCCTTAAAATAATTCTATTTTGTCACAGCCCACTCTTCATATTGAGACATAAGTGGAGCACAAGGGAGTATTCAAGAGCAATTAAAGCCAATGTTTAGAGAAAAGAAAATTGCTAAATACACTTTGGAGGCAAAAATATCAAACAATTTTAAGAGCGATACGATTTTTGTATGGGAAAAAGCTGACAGCAAGTTGAAAATCAGGTGGTCTTAAATATCTTCCATGGTTAAAAGCAAAGCAATGGGTTTAGAGAGACCTCATATCCAGTTCTTCTTCCTTAAGGAGGTGTTGTTACAGTCTCCTGAGCTAATTTCACAGTAGATATTTTCTTTACACAACGTCTTTTTATCCACATCCAGCATTCAAGTCATCTCCAGAAGTGTTTTCCTGTACTCTGGGACCACCCTACTCCTAGCCTTCGATTTCTTAGATAGCGTGCTTCTCTATTTCACAACCCTGCACATTTTTCAGACAAATGGAGAACAACTTGGGCTCCCTTGCTCTCCTTCCTTAAAGCCCAATGAAGATCCTATATTCAGCAGCACAGAGAGGCCAATGAACTTCTCTCTTCTAACTTCAACTCTTCTTCTTTTCTCTGTCTTAGTCCCTGCTGACAACCTCCCTTGTGGCTTTCTTACACTTTTTTTAAGAGATCTCAAGATTTGAATAAATTCTATCACAATGAAGATTTGCATAGGATGACTTATTTTGCCATCAGTAATTATTTGAGCCACCGTAACCCATCTGTTCTAGGATATCTACTGCAGTGGGATCAGACAAAGGATAAGTGAGGAACACATTAAAGTAAACCTCTCTTGGGCAGTTTCCTCCTTGCCTGGAAACAGTAGGGCATGCACAGTAGGTCTAAATGCATGGTCATATAAAATTCCTGACTTTGAGCGCAATCAGTCCCATGGCAGTAATTCTTTAGATGGATGAGTTTAAGGTGGTAAGTCTGTATGTAGTCTACAGTTCAAGACCAAAATCAGTAATTTGTCCTTAAGGTTATTGTTAGCTTTATATTTCACATTCAGTAGTTATTCTTGAAATAAGTCAACACCAACACTGACCTTGCAAGTGACTGAAATAAGGGGAGGGACTATAACTGAAATGGAGGAAAACACATTTGTGAAGTATTAGCACAAAACCATGCTGCCCAGGAAGACAGAATAAGAGCAAGTACCTTTTTTTTCCCCTCCAAAGGATTCAGAACCTCTTCCCATGCATGATCTTGTGCTATCCTTATAAAGAAGTTAGTTTGAGCCCCTCAATTAAAATGCAGGCACACATAACTAATTAAAAGTGTTCTCTTTATGAAAAGTCTATGATAACCATTACCCAGTCTCTTGTGAGATATCATTAATTGAAGGCTACAAAGTCACCGAACACAAAAGTGATTAACTCATTCTGCTGGTGTTGTCTAGTACTATTTGTTTGATTTTTTAAAAAAAATTAATATAAACAAGGATTTTATTTAAATAACCTTCTCTTTATTTCTATCTGAACAAGGTGGACCAATTTCCTGTAGATCCTTCCTTTCAACATTTACAGTATTTGGCTAGTAAATAGAGGCAACCAAGTAGAACAGGAGTCAGGAATGGAGTTAGCTAGATTTTGCTATGTTCATGTCTTTAACTCCATTACTGGAGTTCCACCCCCTTTTTTCCTTGCATGAGAAGCTTGTGTTTCTAAAAATAAATAAATAAATTACCAGAAGAATTAACCACTCTGTCACAGATGGTCTAAAAAAACCAAAACCCAAACTTCCTGTGTGTCTAAGTATTCCCTTAAAAGAACATTTTCTTTTCAACCTAGGAATAAGTTCAAACAAACCATGGTTCAACACTGGCATCCTGTGGCCAGAAAAATTCTTCTAATTTGAAAAATCTCAGACCTCCGTTTCAGAGCTTTGTCAGCTTATCGGACGCTCATACCATCTCCTATGTGGTAACCTCTCCTTCTTCAAGCAAAGACCCTCGGTAAAATGTATTTTGATGGATTATCATTTTCAAACAGCTCATCTACTCATAAATCTTAAGGTAAAAAGAAATTAAAATATAAAGGCTTGAGAATTTTATCAATCAACGTGATCTGTAATCACTGCACAAACTCCTCCAAGCAAAGGTTCTCATCGCTTCCAAATTCTTACTGTTTTCTCTCAAATAAGAGAGGTAGTTGAGGGCAGGGCAAGCTGAGTTCAGGACTCCCTGGAAATTGACTGTATTTGTGTCTGTGTGTGTGTTTTGTTTTGGACAAAGGCTAGCAAAATACTTGCTATTGCAGCAATAAATAGTATGAATTTTCTTTACTGCAAGAATGCTGCCTAAGAGGAAAATCAAACAAAATTATGGAGGATTGTTGCTTTTTGCTACTAACTTCCAAAGCAGCTATAAAAATAAAGAGTTACAATGATCACAGTTTAAAGGTACAATTGCTATGTTCCCTGGCAAGACTTAATGGTGTTTAGGAGAACCAAATAACCATTATGGGACTACTACATTGCAGCTACTTTCACAAAAGTCCAACACTAAATTCAGAGGCATTATGGATGTTCAAAACATCATTAGAGAGAAAAATAGCAAAAAATAAATTAAAAGAAATCACTGGAGACAGAAAAATAGCAAACCACAAAAACAGCCCTTCAAAATTCCCCTGAGCATGAAAAGATATCAAAATGAGATTCACCACACAATTTATACAACTTTTGTATGTAAATACATATAAAACTTTAGAAAATGAGATTCAGCATGAAAACTGCTTGTTCTATTGACAAAGAAAGTGTACAACACATATGCACATTAATAAAGAGAGAACTTTTGTCTAGCTTTGGCTGACAAAAAGGGGAGGACCAAAATGATTATAAAATGTGTTAGGACAAAGAATTGTTCCCTTCAGCGTGTCCCGTCTTAGCTATGTCTAACTCAAGGGCTAACAACTCTTTTCCTACATTTTCTTGTTTTTCCATGGTACTCAGAGGCTTTAACTGTCTCTAGCTAGGAGCTAAGACGGAGACATAGATGAGCCTTATTATGCCTTGTGTTTGTTGTTGCTGTGTACCGTAGATTCATAACTGACTCATAGTTGATGCCACTACAGGTTTTCAGAGGCAGCTAATCGCCTGGGGAGAGATTGCCCATCCTTCTCCAGCAGAGTGGCCTTAACTGCATGCCTTCACGATTGCACCTCAGCTTCTTGCCACTAGGCCACCAGAGCTCCTCTGTTATGCCTTAACCCTAATAGCAAATCTGTTGATGTGAATATTGTATTAAAGGTTTGCCATTGCCACCATGCCTCATCCCTAGAAAAAGGCTCTATGGTTAGTGTATGTAACAGGAAAAAAAAAGTAACTAAAAATATCCTATTCAAAACCGGTGTGACCTAATAAAAAACAAAGATTAAATAATTTGTTCAAACATCAGTAAGTTCACATTAGCTCTAAAGAAGCTAGTTTGTATACTAACTCTTCTTTGGGGAATAGTATTGCTAGCTTGAAAATAAAACCCAGGTATAAACAGAGTATAAGGTCTAAAGATACCAAATACCAATTAAAAGCTAATAAACTCTACTCTAAATGACTGGCTTCTAAATGAGCTTTTGCAAAACATTTGAGATTCAATATAAAAACCAAGTATTTCCCTTCTTTTAGTTTTTAATAACATTAAATTATTTAACAAATTTACCATAAATATCCCTGAAGTTGGCATTGCTATTTAAAATTAATTATAATAAATTAAATGTTTGGCTCTT